GATTACTGTTTTTCACATCATTACAATTCCTGAAGTCTTTTTTTGGAATGCTACTGGAGTGATCGTCCTTGGTCAGATACACACAAGTCTGAGTCGTGCCGGTTATGTAGACCCCACTTGTCGTGGGAAAGGCTTAAAAAACAGATTGAGTTCAAAAATATGCTCGTCCAGTCTTTCCGCTTATCGGCATTTGATATTTAAGTTTTTAGTTACATATATTTTCAATCAATTCTTGCCCCCGAGGTACTTACATTATGTTCATCAAGAATAAACTACTATCCACTCATATTTTCCTAGTCCACGCCAGCAGGCTGATTATCGCCTACGTCGATAATTACAGAAGTAGAATCAATGATAATTATCAAGAAATATTTTAGCACCATCAGCCAGGGAAAAGTTTGTTCACCCAAGGCTATGGCCTTCCTGTAAAAACGACTACTGTGAAGGTCGATTGCATCTTTCCGTTTTTTCTCAGAGATCTACTTGTTTGGCAGAATATTTTATTGTTTCTCTTGCGAAGCATCTCAAGCATACTTTTTTTTATTGTTCATTCGCTCTGATTTTTGTAAGTGTTGTTTGTTTGCAAAAATTGCAACCATATGTTTTCAGATCATAAAAATGTTTTCGTGATGGATAATTTTTGCTGGCTAAAGTTTTTCCAGCATAAAATGAATGCCCCTCTTGCACCAAAATGAACGTCTGCTCTCTCAGTTTTTGAGTTTTGGATGTGCATTAGGGTGGTCAACAAATGCATGTGAAAAAGTGAAGTCGGATTTTTTGTGCTCTAAGCCCCTAGGATTGTTCTATATCGAAAAAATATATTCATATTTTTATACCCGAGCGCACTTGTGCACAAGGGTATATTAATTTTGTTCACATAACGGTTGTTTGTAACAGCCAAAACGAATCGAGATAGATATAGACAAATGTATACATAAATGATCAGGATGAAAAAAGAAATCGATTAAGCCATGTCTGTCTGTCCGTCCGTCTGTCCGTCTGTCCGTCTGTCCGTCTGTCCGTCTGTCCGTCTGTCCGTCTGTCCGTGTACACGATAACTCGAGTAAAAATTGAGATATCTCAACGAAATTTGGTATATAGGTTTCCCTTAATCCAAGGTAGGTTGCTATTGAAAATGGGCGAAATCGGACTGTAACCACGCCCACTTCCCATATAACGGTAATTTCCAGAAATACGAAAACTGCGATATTTTAGTAACTACTGAAGATAAAGCACTCAAAATTGGTATTTACAATAATTTTTTGACAAAAAATAAGAATATTATACATTTTTGGAAAATGGGCGTAGCCACGCCCACTTATGGTTACATGTGTATATCTTGGTAACCGCTGTACCAATTTCTACCAAACTTGGCACAGTTATCGGCCTTGGTACAGCATACAAAATCGCCGAAAATTTTTAAAATCGGACGATAACCACGCCCACATCCCATATAACGGTAATTTAGAGAAATACAAAATCTTCGATAAATCAGTAAATATTGAAGCTAATTTGTTCAAAATTGATGCTTGCAACAATTCTTTACCAAGAAATACGTTTGTGATAAATTTTTGGAAAATGGGCGTGGCACCGCCCACTTATGATCACATATATGTATCTCAGTAACCGTTCTACCAATTTGTACCAAACTCGGTGTGGTTATTGTGCTTGCCACATATAAGCAAACCGTTGAAAATTATTGAAATCGGACTAAAATAACGGCCGCTTCTCATATAACGGTAAATTTCAGAACTGCTTGAAACTTCAAAATCGAAATTTAAGGACTCTAATTTACTCAAAATTGATACGCCCCGGCTTACCATGTAGCCGTAGCTTTCGGTAAGGCGAAAAACATATATTTAATACGTGCGCCGGGTATTTAATGTTCGGCTCTGCCCGAACTTAGACTTTCTTACTTGTTAGTAATGTTTATACTATAATTTAATACATAATTCCTTTTTCATGTTAAAAAAAAAACATACCAACACGATTTGCACAGAAGCTTTACGCTCGAACGCAAATTTTATACGACTTTTGGTTTTTATTGTGCTGAAAGGCATAAAAATCTGGCTATTGTGGAGCTCTCCCACCTCGATGTCTCACCTAGAGTCATGTATAAGGCTTTTAACATGGCGTTTTGCTCTGGCTCTTTTGAGTAACTCTAAAAATGTAGCTATCCGCCCCGCCTGGTTGGCTGTTCGTGGTATCGTTGCCATTTTCGTCGCCTTCGTGCGCGTCGTCATGCCTACAGTAGTGCAAATGTATGTGCATATGCATGGATGTGTTTGTAGAAAAAATTTGTAAACTTGTATATGCATATGTATGTTTGTATATTCGTGAAGTTTTTTCTTCTTTTTACTGCTGCCATTTTCGGAATCTCTTTACTCCCCATTCGCATTCATTCTGCAAAATCTATCCATTGAATGCGGAGCTGGCACTTGTTTTTATTTTGTATATTTTTTTTTTGTTGCTGGTGTTTTTTATTATTTCTTTTATCCACTTTTTCATGTGCGTGTATCTCGCGCCGTGTGGGGTTAATCAAAAAATCTCCACCGAAATAAATTTTTGATGAGAGAGTTGGATATGGCGCTGTCAGAGAGATAAAATAAAAAAAAATAAAACTAGCTACAAATATTGTTGTGATGAAAGCTAAAAAGCGTAGTATCCATTTTTGAATAGGGTGCCTGCTCTGTAGCTAAAACCAGCTTGGTCCATATTTGAAATGAATTTTAAGTATTTGAGTATGATCCACTGCGAGAATATATGTTCCCCAAACTTCAGTCTTAACATTTCACTACAGAAAATTCAGTCAATTTCTTTAATGTTTTGCCGGAGAGATGATCCGGTTCACGTGAGGATCCAATAATCACCTTTAATATTAATTTATGTAGTTGGTGCAGAACATGTTGGAGACCAGGAAACAGGAAACGATAGAACAGAAATCCAATGTACGGTTAAATTTTGATTTTCATTGTAAAGATCATAGCTGATACGGCCCTGATTTTTTCTCACCCTTCGGCTTAAGCTCATATTACGTTTCTACCTTATATAGTACTAGGGCTGGGACTATTCGTTGGGATATTCGTGAATACGGATAAGATCCGGAAATCGGTAACATCCGTTTTCTTTTATTATCCGGTTTATAGTATGTTTATTTTGTTATCTGGATATCCGATTAACATCCGTATATTTGGATTTTTAATCAGATACTCGAAGGTCTGTATTTTCCAGATATCCAAAAAATCCGGTTAGAACTCTCAGCCCTAAATATGTACATTTGTAGTACATACATACATATGTATGTACATATGTATGTATGATGTATTTAAGTGCATGAAGCAAGGTAGCACAGTGAATACTGAAATTAATTTTTTTTTAATGTTTAAATTGTTTTCTTGCTTTTGTTTTGTTCTCCAAAATTTTGGTTTTTATTTACATTTCTATTACTTTGCTTTCGTTTATATACACACAAATATACTCTGTCTGGAAAATCTCTGGTTCCGAACTGTTGCGCTTCTAGTACATTTAGGCCCACTACTGGTCCGCGATAAATCTTTTTTGGCTGTAGTTGAGATTGCAGAGGTGCTTGCAGTTATTGGTTAGATTCCAGAAGGTTCCAAGATGTTAAAATGTTAACACAAATTTTTGTTTTGTATTACCAAGCCATGAAAAGGCATCTGCAAAGTGCAGAATGGAAGCGAATTTGAACGAAATAGCCACCAAACACATATCTATGTAAAGTAAACAAGCCCACCGCTGCATCCGTGTTTTCGATAATTCCGAACCAGTTCTAAATTCGGCAGATAAGATCTAGTTCGTCATCTTAGATATATGCAGATTTCTAATGGAAAAAGTGTAATAAAATATTTTTTTTAAAGTACCACATTTCACTGATTCTGGACTGGTGGAAATCTAGTTACTTTCGGTTACTATAAATTTGATTCACTAGTCCGCGGTTTCTCTGCAGGGTATGTGTGTGGTTTGATTGTTTTCTCGCTTGTCCGTTTGTCGGCTAGACTGTCAGTGGCCATCAGCAACACCGCCACCAACACTATGGTTACTGTTCGAAACTTGTGCTCTGGCCATTGTCGTTGACAGTGCTTCAACGTGTTTTCAGTCTTACGGTAACTATGGCTAGGGTATTCGCCAACTGATTTACCGATCACCCCTTTGTCTTGGTTAACATGAACCGCCACTATACTACCCAACGGTCGAATCGTTGGATCTCGGCGGGTTGTAGCCAAAATGTAAATGCCGCCTCGACACTCTCAATCAATTAGTCTTAATTTATAATCGCGCGGATTACGGTGTTAATTATCGACATACCAACGGCGGCGACAAAGACTCTTTGCCAGTAAATGTATATTTGTGTGCTTACTGTTCACAGCG